CAATATTTTACTTGTAATATTATACTTTAGTTATAATTTTTTATTTTTCTCTTCTTGAATTATTGTTATTATTATTATTATTATTATTTATACTTTATGCTATTATAAATTATGTCAATTTCCATTTACACCGAACTTAGTGAACATTTTCATAAATTAGAAAACTAACCAATGGGTAGTTTTCTAAAAACATAGCTTTGTTAAGTTTCATATAAATTACTGAATGCCTTAATTATATGACACAAAAAAACAAAGAAAAAAAGAAAGTGAAATTTGTGTGGAAGTTTGTGTATTGAAAAGACCATTGGCTATTTAGATTACAATTGTTGAAAATAAAAAAATAAAACATATTTCCAACTTTCAAGGTATTTAGAATATTTTGTGGCTATGCCAGAATAAAGTAAATAATTTTAAGTGACATTTTATCTCAAAAACAACCTTTTACTTATATTCTGGCAACACAAAACTATGCGCAAAAACAATGCATTATTGACTTTCATTTACTTCAGCTATTAATTCAGCTTTTTTTTCATAAAGTTTTACATTTGATCAAAGAAGATTGGAGACAACTGCTCGACGTGGGCGTCGGACTGAGATATTTCAAATACAAAACTGTACAAGATCAAGGATAATGTTTTATGATTCGCAGAACAAACCGCGATTTGGATTTTAGCGTCTGCTATACCTTATATGATTCTGCAGGTCTACAGTCACGCTATGATACCTTATTTTTTATTTTTCAGATCAAATTCGGTGCGTCATTATGTTGTCACATATCTGTTGTAGATGCAACTCATTACAACAAAAACAACGAACGCATGACAGGCGGAAAGGCAACCGGCATGTTTTAGATATGTGGGTATTATTTATTAATTAATTTGACGGTTTGAATAAGTAATTATATCAACATAACAATGAAAAAACTGAATAAGGAAAATTTAGATATACCTATGAACATCATCCATTATATGTATAGAAATAAAAGATAGGTCATTCTTATGACCTTCATCAATTGTTGTTCTGGTTTTAAAATAAAGCAAACAATTTCGTTAACCAAGCTTTCATATAAAGGCATGACATTAAATAGATCAATCATTTGTAATTTTTTAGAAAACGTTGAAAAATATTATAACCGATGTAATTAAATTAATTCTAGTAATTTCTCAAAAACTATGTCGTTTATACCTACACTTGCTAATTTACAAATACAAATTTGCTTTATAACAAAAATGTCTCACACTTCTTCGTGGTTCATTTTTTTTGTACATTTGCATTGAAAAACTGTTCGATTTGTACGTGCTGACTTTAGTTTGAAAACAAATGCAAATGATTGTTGCTTAGTGTTGCATTGATAGCCTTGCAAGAAGAATACGAAATGCACTGGTCTAGAATTAAAAAATAAAACTTCGGTTTCGATTCATTATTTCATCAGATCAAGGGGATCACATTTTCTAACAAATATATTTTTCATCTGTATGGCAAGGCAAAATTACTATTACTATTTGATTTTAGGCTGAGCTCATATTATGCAAAGTTTTTGAACAGTTAAACTTTGGCTCTTTTTTATCAATGAATTGGTCATAAATTCATATAGTTATTTAATTCAAATTAATGTAGCAAAAAATATCAAAAATTTGATCATTTTTTATAAAATATTGACTAAATGGAACACTGAATTTCTCTCAATAGAGTAAACTATAAATTATTATTTTTTTCGTCTATTTGAACTTTTTTTGTTTTCCCTCTTGTTTATATAACAAAAGCTTATAATATTGCACTGTTTCTTGATTGATATTCTTTATAATAAAAAAAAATTGTAATATTAGTTTTATTATTACATAATATCGAATAATCCAGTAATTTGGAATTTTCATCTAGTTTTATGACAAACAAATGAAGATAACTCGTAGAGACAAGTTATTTTTTAAAGACTAAAAATTTATATTTTTTGCTCATAATCAAATATCAATCAGAAGTAGAAGCATTGAATTAAATCTATGAGTGTTGTGTTAATATTTATATTGTTTCGTAGGCAACATCTAAAAGGCAACTAAATGATTGGCCTATCTTAACTTTATATTTTATTATTAGAATTTCTCTAACATTTTTAATATGATGCAGTAATCTCGAGAAATGGCTATTTTCTCCAGAAAACTTTTTTCCGTCTAAATTTTCAACTGAAAATATTAAGAAATATTACTGATGCTCCATGGGTTGTAAGCAATAAGATCTTGCACGACGATCTTCATATTGAATTTAACAGAGTTATAAAAATCAACAGTGTCAAACATTTTCGTAAACTAGAACATCATTCAAACTCTATGGGCCAGCGGTGGCGATATCGGTTAGAGCGTGTGCTAGCACCAACTAGATCCAGGTTCGCTGGTTCGATTCCCGCTACCGCCAAGCCTGACATCAGGCAACTTTGATGTCAAATTTCCACTTGGGGTTATAGAGCACAATATAATTCCAAGTGGAAATCGTCCTTCGTGGACATAGTTGCATACAATCATATGCACTCTATTAGACATAAGAGCTGGTAAAACCCCCACACATAAGAGAATAATGAACCGATGGGTTGCTTCTCATATCAATACCTTAGATCATAAGTCATACACAAAAACAGCTTATAGAACAGTAATAAAGAGTTCTGATTGCTGTGGAAACAATAAAAAAAAATTCAAACTCTATAGTCAATCAGCTTTTTGAGACACCAACTTCAAGAAGAGTGAAAAAGAAGCTGGCCAATGATAATATTCACGAACTTTAGAACTATCATATATCCTTGCACATACATATAAACAGTATTGATGATTATAGTGATTCTCGAACTATGCGTATTATATTTATCACAATAAATTATATGAGTGTTTGAAAGTGTGTGTGAGTGAATGATATAAGCCAAATAGCTCATAGAATTATACTATATTGCTATTGAAAATAAAAATTAAAAATTTAAAAAAAAATTCAAGTGGACGCGATCGGTGACATCGCTGTCACTACTGTTTCTGGTTGAAAGACCAAAGCTCTATCTACTAAGCCACGGAGAGAAATGTTCATCAACTATAACATTGTCTCTCAAGATTGAGAAATCTAGCTATCTGTCACCAATCAATGTCCACGTTGTCAAATCATGAAACAATAACGTCATTTTCTCGACCAGTGCGCGAGTAGTCGTGTAAGCTCGACCCTGTGCGAATTAATTTTACACATAACGTTCATAACAACAACGAATGCCGTGAACGCGTGAATATGTACGTACAAATAATACATATGATACGAAACTGAGGCATACATGCGGCCACGTTGCCGATGCCCGACAAGTTGTCAAGGATTCTGGAATCTATTTTTGCGGACGTCTGCTCTGCTGTTCACTGAAATACGCTAGGGATGGCCAACGTTATCGCATCGGCATGCGCCGACCTGATGAATTGAATACAATGTCTACACACGCGATCATTACTCACTATCATAAGCGATGCGAGTTAGCGGGCACATGTAAACATTTATACATTAATTATATATCAGAAAACTCACATGTAGGACGTACAGCCAATATGGTATAATAAATATACACACAAATACAATTACATACATATATATATATATATATATATATATATATATATATATAGTAGTTTGCCCGAAGGCAGGTCCATGATATAATAGCACCACAAAATCAATTATTTCCTTCCCTTGTTTACTATTCCCATTACCATTCTATTACCAACATTTAATAAATTTTAAACACTTTTTATTCATTTTTATGAATTTTTTTTTTCAAACTTCTGCTTCCATACTTGCTGATCCTGTACTTCGGGTTTTAATTCCCTGTATTTCTTCTTCTCGCGTAAGTCATCAACCATCTGCATTCTTCTTCTTCCCATTCCTTTCATTCCTTCGATTTCACTACAACAATAATAAATGGTTGTCTGCACGAAGGCAGATCCATGGTTGAGAACCACCACAAATAAATGATTCCCTTACTCTTCATCCTATTACTGCTATTCCCCCTCCCCTTTTTTTCATATATTTTCCTTTCCGAACTTCTGCTTCCATGCTTTTTGATCCTATGCTTCGGCTTTCAGTTCCCTGTATTTTCTCTTCTCGCGTAAGTCGCCAATTGTATGCATTCTTCCTCTTCCCATTCCTTTTGTTCTTTCTATTTTACAATCCAGTTTCCTTTTCTTCTCAGAATTGTGCTGCTCAGAAATGCTATAAATATAAATATATATATATATATATATATATTCGTGTGTGTGTGGGTGTTCCAATGGTTAGGCTCACGAGCTCGTGTGGACGGAATCGTGAGTTGAACCCCGCTCTGGACAAACTGCATCGTGCAGTAGCGATAACCATTTTGACTTGAAAATACACATCAAAAATATGTTTCCAATTGGAAATAGTCGATTTCGAGTACAGGAAAAACTCTTACACTATTCTTCCCTGAACGGAGTTGGAGTCCAACTCACCTCATCTGTCATTGGACAGTATTACCCATTATTACATGTATATATAAGTATATATAATTATAAAAAATAAGTTGTTCAATGCGCTTCTACTTAGTTATTGAAAAGAATAACATAATTTAGGTTTAAAAATTGTAATAAGTCTTCCATACGTTTTGAGTCACAATTTGACTCTTTTTTATAAATGAAAAATCAATGAAGAAAAGACTAATGATCATGTTTATAAATTAAAAAAAAATTAAAATATAACTAACAACCAAGTTGAATTCTGTAAAGAGGTACACAAACAAGATTTCGTTTTAGTAATAACTATAAAAATGGTTATAAAATGGTTTATAAAATAAAATGAAATATTTTTCATTTAATACTAAAATTTAAAAACAAAAATAAAATTTGGCTACCGCGTGGATTAGTGGTTAGAGCTATGTCATTTGCACCAAAGGTCCCAGGTTCGACACCGGCCTTAGACAGTCCTATGTACAGCAGCAGTGGTAGATAAATCAAATATAAATAAAACAACATTTAAATAATTTAATCTTTATTTAATTTTATCTTAGAAAAATCTATGCTCCAGATACTAAAATCACAGTTTGCTTTGACATCCTTAATTTTATTTTCACTATTAGAATCATTACTTGTTGGAACACCTATTTGCGACTGACATGATTCAGATGATGACTGTGATTCAATATTGTTCAACTGAAAATCGCTAAGTACTTTTAAGATTACCAAATTTGCGTGAATACGCTGGAATTTCGGTAAGTCGCGTAACTGAAAAGCAATTTGTTTTCCCATTACATCACACTCGTCTTCCTCTTTTACTGCAAAATGCTTATGGAGAAATTTAAATTCATTCATAGCATTAGCTATTAAATCCAACTTTTCTTTCTGACCTTTAACAGTCTTTTTGTGGTCATTTTCAGTTTTCCTATTAGCAGTTGGTGAGTGAATCGATTCATCTGCACTGGAAAGTAAATCGCTTGTCGCATTCCAATCTTTTTGTAAAAATTCTTCACCATAAAATAAATTCATATCGGACCTTTGATTTGAATCAGATCGTGGTTGATGATTTGTGATAGAAGACGATTCTTGGAATACTTCAGGATTGAGTCTAGAATGTGATTCGGTGTTTGTTTCGGTTAGTATGTCATCAGGAATCTCGGATTTGGGGATTTCCAATACTTCCAGTGTAAGTGGAGCCTGTATAAAACAGTTTCTGATAATAGATGAACAATTTAGGGACAATTCTCGGGTAAAATATATTTGTTATGTTACGGGATTATAATCGTATGAGTTGGTAGTCACGTACGGTCAGAAAGCTATGTTTTTGCTGTGTGAACAAACATGTTACTCTAAATCTACTCTAAAACCTAACTAACTTCAGAAGGCAAAAATGTAAAAAAACAATTTTATGATAAGTGCAACTTTCTGTTGTCACTTGGATAATACATACGTCAAGTCTGCTTGAAGTTAATAGTATGATATTTGTGCCTTTTCGAGGTTAGGTTCTATGTTTGAAACAATTGATCGCACAAAAAATACATAGCTTTTATACAGTTCGTGACGACCAACTCAGACCATTATAGATTCGTAACATAGCATTTCTATTTTATCCCAGAATTGGCTTCTTCAATGATGATTTACTTAAAATAAAAATGAAAAATGTCGTACCAAATTAGTATGTGTCGATCTATCTTTAACGTTTGATGCTTGTATTATACTATCCATATCGCTAAACCAGGGAAGAGAAGTTCTGTAAGCATATTCCCTACCAGCGCCACAGTTTTGTCGTTTATCAATTTTAGCAAGTTCTAAATAATAAGTGGACCTCAAAGCCTTGATCTTCTTTGTGACATCTTTTGCTGTAAAGTTTGGTATGGCCATCTTGGTCAATATATCCTGAATTGATGCGATTCTGGCATCACGATTGCGATAATCCGGGTTTAATACGTTCCACAAACATTCGTTTTCGCGGTATAATTTCACAAACTTTACAGTTTTCTTCTCACTCCATCGGGCTGACATTTTTGGCAGAGTTAGTTCGTATGTTAACTCGTCTGGTGCCTGCCAGCGACTGGTTTATTACCACTAGCACGGCCGTTGCATTGGAACGTCTGGCGGGGAGAACTGGCGCTCCGTAGAACTGAACGAGAAATTTTGTTCCGTTACCAGAGGAGAATGCTGGCTTTTCAATACTGGCATAGTGATACGACACGCTGGCATGCATTTGATAATAATGTATACATAGTTTAGATACGCCTAGGTATGTACAATCATAATGTATTATAATGGAATTGTTGTTATTAATACTTGCTATTATTAATTACATTGCTCACGGAATTTCCGCTCTTATCAGCCCACTCAAACAGCTGGTCTTTCGACATTCTTAAATATTATTAAATTTATATAAACTTTTATATCAATGTTGTTTACACAAGTTAGTGCATTTTGCACTTCATATGCTTGTACTATGTCGCAGTGTGATGTAAATGCATTAACTAGTGGGGTGCATGGCATCGTGTCTTAAAGCAAATTGCTGGAACTTTCCGTATCGTAATTAAAAATTTTGGTACGAAACCCAAAAAAAATTACGCAAAATGTGTACACATTATTAAAATCTCCATAAAATATCTGATAATTTGATGTACATATGTTCAATAAACATTTTTGACCGCTAAATGACATTTTTTTAACTTATTTTAATTGAGAGTCCATAACCGCTAAACCTGCCTTCACAAATTTTTACTCAGTTGTTCATCTTGTCAATACAAGTGAAACGTTTTTTGAATTATTAAAATCGGACGCTCCGTTCTCTTAAAAACTGAATTACCGTTTTTGGCACTTTATGCCCCGTATCTTTGGAACGGCTAGACCTGCTTTCGCCAAAAACTAATCAGCACGTTTCTTTATCAATAAAATTGAATGTTTTTTAATGATTCAAATCTGTAGATCGGTGTTCCCAAAATCATCGACGAAAATTTGTATCCGCACACACACACACACACATATACACACTCATACACACACACACTCATACATTCATTTTTTCTAAATTATGCCAAAATATTCATAAACCTTTGAAACGTAAAGATATATAAAAATTTTCATTTTCGATTTTTTGCGATTACTATAACTTACCCTACGGGAAGTTAAAAAACTATTTAGTAAATTGGGATTAGAACTAGTTGTGAGTTGTAACATTTTGCCTTAAGGCAAGTTGCATGACCTTACCGATGCGTATACATAATCAACTTAATCAATAAGAATTGAGATTCAGCTATTTAGGTAAATATTCAACTGCTATTTCGAAAATTTAATTTTTGCTTCTACTAAAAATATTCAATACGATTTCCAATCGATGTCTTTCAAACATACTTTTAATATCTGTAATTGTATCAATTAAATTAATTTGCTTAACGAATCACATTTTATCCATTTCGGGTTCTAAAAATGTATCTTATAATAGTTTGGACGTCGACTGTAATCAGTAGCTACCTACGAAACACAGAATGCTTAGTTGTAGCGTCGTAGATGCTTATTAGAATCGATTAAGCGCGAACTAAACGGCGAAATTCTAAACTTTGATGATTTTTATAATTCAACCGCTTATCGTAGGCCTATGATATTTTAGTATCATAGGCCTACAGACTACAAAATGTATTGTTACATGAAGATTTTGAAAAAAAAGTCACCAAGTTATCCAATCACGATGAAAAGGCCACAGCCGATCTTTACTATTATCCAATCAACATACACATACATTTTTTCCAAATTTGGTCGATTCGAAACATCAATGAACATAAAATTAGAATTTTTGCGGAAAAATAAGCTTCTCCTCCCGGAAGTGGAAATTTGACATCAAAGTTGCCTGATGTCGGGCTTTGGACTTTTGGAAGTTAGTAATATGTTAATATATTGATTATATAATATATGTAATATATGTAATGTATATAATCTATGTATACAATTATTTACTTTTACATTTACATAAAAGTAACATTAGAAATGTTTTGTATATTTTTGAACATACATAATTTTTAAAACATTTTGTTCTCGAAACTGTACTATGTTAAATATATTTAAGATTTTATTTCGATGCATTGGTAATTATATATATACGAGTATATATATATATATATATATATATATATATATATATATATATACATATATATCATTTAATACACTACATATTTCGCGTACGTAATTTCATCTGATTTGCGTCACTAACAAAATATATTGTTAATGTTTATATTAATAATTAATTCAACATTTTTATGGCTGTAAAAACCAATTGTTAGTTTAATAATAAATTATTTATTTACTGATTCAGTATCCTTCTTACATATGTAAGAAAATTATGATTAATTATCAAATAATGTAAATAATTTACGTCCGCAGTTATATTTAGTCATATAACAAATAAAACTACATAGTATACACTTACTGACTATAAATTCTCTAAAATATTTCTTGAACTAAAATAATTCTCGTTGGTGTAGTATAGATCATCCATTAGTTGAGCTATGACATCAATATTGATTCTGCTAAACTGAATTGTACTGAGAAATCTGAATACGTGCTTATTACAAATAAATATTAATAGTATCTAATAAGATATTATGATACTTGAAGTGAATCATCAGTTATAAATAAAAATAATTATATATTAATACTATGAAAGCTCATTCTTCAGTTGTTGTTAGTTATGATAATGCACTTACAATTAGTATAATAAATTAATATATGTAATTGGATTTTTAATATAGGGTAGGGTGGAGCACAAAGATCCAATTTGACTTTGATCAGTTATATAGTGAAAACCAAACCAATTATATTACGACAAATAACACATATCAAACTAACAAATATTTGACTATGTTCAGTAAAACTCCCAGCTAGTAATAATAATTAATCATTTTCTACAATGTGTAAAAATTTGTCATCTGGTCTTTTTTACCCCACAGGCGCGGTAAAATGAGACAGCCTGGAAGCAAACAAGTTTTTAATTTTATAGAGATTTTACGAATGAAAAGCTAGCTTATTCAACTCATCCAAAACATAAATTTCATGGGTACATTTTTCACAGAGAAAACAGCGTATTTACAGAGATTTTACAGAGTATATAACCGTGATCTGGTATTTTGTCAGAAATAATCATCAGCAAATTTAGAATAACTATTTATTCAACTTATCTATTGTGAAATTGCTTTTTGTAACTGAATTTACAATTATTGTTGACACCTTTTCCAGGGTTAAGGCTCAGATGGTCCTTTTTACCCCACACAGATGTAAGCTTTCATAGAGGATATTTAAATAAACTGTTCAATCTAACTTAAAAATAACAATCTTACGAAACATACATCTTATAAAACATTTAACTAGCGTAGACATAAAAATTATATTGAGGTCTCGTAAATTGAACAACAGCGCTCACAACCAAAAAAAAACTAACAACGAAAAAGAATACTTTTGTTATGGATTTTCAAACATTGCCGTTTATCTCCTGATAGCAACGTCATAAGAATCAAGGTGATAGCTGATTACACATCATTTTTCCTCTACTTTCAAATATTGTAGTTGAAAAATTCTTTAATTTACTTGCTTTAGAGGTATTAGTGGTGGACTCTTTTACCCGCGGACCTTTTAACGGCTCATATAAAGTTGTTAGAATAAATTTAAGATTTAATTCAAGTAATTATCAACATTACCTATAACAATAGTAAATTATATTTCTAGCTTATACAGGTAAATTATACACCAACAAGAACATCTGCAACGATTTGAACATTGATGACAAATTGTCATAATGAACTTCTTATTAAACTTTGCAATAGTAATCATATTTTATATATTCATATGAATAGAGTATAGCAATAATGCTAGTATATTATGATATTAATGTTGAATTATGAATTATATACTCTTCGAAGTCGTAATCAATTGAAAGTTAATTTGTCAATGAGTATTTTATTATACATACTTCAAACACATGTATCAAAAATCTAAAATTGTAACATGTATCAAAATCATCATTCACGGACAACTCGTTGCGTGGAATTAATTAATGTTCAAACATTTTTTTCTGTAGGCATTCATACAAATATTCAATTCCAAATACCAGTTTTTAACAAATGGGTCAACTGTGCACTGTTGGCCATCATAGATATAAACAAAATGTGTTCAGTTCGCGACAATGATATTTACGTAATTCGTCAGGCGTTTCATGTTCGGCATATATTTAATAAATACATGTAGGTGAACACATTAACTGGCGTGTATTACAAAAGTGTTTGTGCAAATATCAGAAAAGTCGACGCGGACTAACGCACGGAGCCCAACAGACCATAGAGGAAACTGGGCATTCGACATTTTGATCTTGGGCAACATTAGAATTACTGGTTCACAGTAAAATATAAAATTTGAAAATTATTATTTTGAATTCATTATTTTGAAAACCGTGTAACCAACACAATCGATGAATTTAATTAGTTTCATTTATTATTATTAATTTTGCAGACAAGTATGCCAGTCATTTTCGATTACAAACATTCTTCTGTATAATTATTATACAATATTTATAATTTTATGTTACTAGATTTAATAAAATTATACAAAGCTCTATATGGTCTTATATCTGCCATCAATAGTTTAAAACTAGTAGGAATTTTATATATCTCCTTCCACGATTCCTGTGTCTATTCATTTCTTATCTTTTGCAGAAAAGTGAAAATTTGATTTTAAATATAATTTTTCTCTAACAACTGGAGCACTAGACTTGAAGATTTTGAAATAAGTTTTGTAACACCACGTTCGTAAGATCAGTCTGGTAGTATTTTTATTAAAACAATCATAACATTAGTATCTGAAGATCCCTTTTGTAGATGTCACCAAGAGCAGTTTTAAGCATTATGCAAAAATTCACTGCCAATCTAAGCAATAGCTTTGATATTTCGTATAGATTTGCTATAGAAAATTATATTCCATAGGAAGTTACTAAAAATTGAACCAATTTCTATCATTTC